AAGTTAAAGAGCAAAAAACTTGATTTTTCTTGTTGATCCTCATTTTAATAATAGTTAAATATACCTACATACATTTCTCCCATACTTTGAGTAATTTAAACAAAGTAATAATAATTAGAAGATGCCTAGTTCTCAGGGTCTCCATGTACACCTTCCTGAGCCAGGCAGAATGAAGTATCTGTATAGACTTGTTTGCCCAGAAAGTAGATCCAACACAGGCATACTGAAGATTGAAAAGGGAATGATAACAGTAAAAACCAAGTGCCCCCTATGTGTGTGATGTTTGCTACACTAAGCTGGTCCTCTAAATTAAACATGCCATGTCAGGGAAGATACCACCTGAGAGGAAGAGCAGAGTACTTGTACTGCTAGATGATTTGTCCATCAGAGTCTGAGATGCTGACTGAGATTTTAGCATTTGCAGGGAGGGGTGCATAGCTCAGTGGTAGAGCCCTTGCCTAAGATGGTCAAGGTCCTGGGTTCCACCCCAGCACTGCAAACAGAATGGGGAATGGAGGGAAAAGGTGCCTGCTTCATTATGACGTGAATTTTTGTGGTATTGGGGACCCAACCCAGGGCCTCACATATGCTAGGCAAGTAACAAGCATATTTTAACAGCTCAGAAACTATAAGCACGTCAGAATTTTTCCTTTCACTTCTTTTAGACATTTTTCTCCCATTTGTGCAAGTTTGTGACTTATAAATGAGTCCATATTTTTGCATCTGTTCTGTAAATCTAAAATTATTTTAGAATAGATTTTTAAAAATAAACTATTAGGAATATTTTCCATCACCCCACTTTAAGGAAACTTAAGTAAAACTGCAGAAGGGAAATCAAGAGCATTTCTGATGACCAGTCTTATTACACAGGGTTGAAATCTCTCAGTCATATAAACTAATGTCCATAGATTCATCTGAAATTTTTAATTTTTATTTGAAAATACAGGGAAGCAGGACATTGAATCAGGATAAATAAGCAAGTCAGAACCAAGGAAAGCGTGACCCCTGCTTTTTTGTACTCTTGTTTTTCTTTTGGTGTACTAGTTCTGTCTTAAGATCTGAGACTCCAACACTGTTTCTTCACATGCAGCCTGTTTCTACTTATTGCTCCCTCTGCCTCTGCCAGCCCTTCGTCTGCCTTGACAAACGTGATCATTAGACCTCTGTGGCAATGGAAATATTTAGATTGAGAAATTATGGCAATTTAAAACATTTTTGGTGTTCAGACCTGTCCTTCAAAAGCATTATTATAAACCCGTATCATTTTAACAAGTTTTATTGACAAGAAGATGTTTTGTTTAGTAACTTGTGAATCAAAATGTAGCTGCATGAGAAGTTGACCTGAGCAGAGCAGTGAAGTCCTCTTCTGTTTGGCTCTCTGGGGAACAGAACCAGCCAGCCTCAATCTTGGCCCCCACTCTGTGTGACCTTACGTGGGCCGTTTCATAGTTCTTAGCGCTGGCCCCTCTCCTGTTTTATGGATAGAGATATGTACTTTGTCATATTAAATGAGACGATATATGTACAGTCTTCAGTGTAATGCTTGGAATGTGATGGTGCTCAGTAGATGCTAACTGGTATTGGCAGTCATTTATACTATTGCATATAGTATGTTTTATTCCACTTGCCTGTCTAGTCTAAAATGAATTAAATGTCCTAGTCAGTAATATGTCATTGTCCTGTGAGTAACTTTTACTGTTTTTCCCGCCAGTTGTTGTTTATCACAATCCTCTTGTCCCTCTAAATACATGAAAAATATGTAATTTCAAAATACTTTCCTAATTTATATATAGTATGTTTTGCTAGACAGGTTCTTAGTGTTATTGTTTTATGAACTTAAAATTGCTCCCAGATGAACCATTTATAATGAGCACTCATCTTTGTAGATTGTTGCCAATTTTACTTTTAGGAAATTTTATGTTTAGACAGTTAATAATTTAAAAAAAAAACTTTAAATGGCATTATTTAAGCAAGGTGCTTTAAATATTGTCATAGTATATTCATTCACTTGGTATGTTAGTATTGTTCCAGGAGAAACTGGGATCCATGTGTGGAGTGTCTTGTAAGTGTAGTCTGTCTGCTGTCAGGACCACTGTAACCTGGAGGTCTAAATGTAGCTGTTTGTGTCCTCCACTCCAGACTGTTCCATTCAAAGCCCAGTTCTGAACTTGAAATGGAACCACTGTCTAACCTAGTTATTTCACTCCTCTGTGGAATGAATGAATGAATGAATATATATATATATATATATATATATCCAAAGGCCTTAAAATCAGCATACTATAGTGATGCATCCACATCGATGTTTATAGGAACTCCATTCACAATAGCTAAGCTATGGAACCAACCTAGGTGCCCTTCAACAGATAAATGGGGTATATATACATAGTGGAATATTACTCAGCCACAAAGAAGAATGAAATCTTGGCATTTGCCAGTAAATGGATGGAATTGGAGACTATCATACTAAGTGAAATAAACCAGTCCCCAAAAACCAAAGGCCAAATGTTTTTTCTGATATGCAGATGCTGACTTACAGTGGGAGGGGTGTTTACTAGATTGGACAGGGCAGGGAGGAGGGATGGGAATGGGAAAGATAGAATGAATTGGACATAACTTTCCTATGTTCATATATGAATACATGATCAGTGAAACTCCACATCATGTAAAGCCTCAAAAATGGATTACAGGTGTATGCTACCATGCCTGGCTGGCCAATTGATTTTTCCCAACAGGGAGGAGAGAGTTCATTGGAGAAAGAATTGTCCCACCCCCTCTCCCCACCCCTGCCCCAATACTGGGGGTTGAACCCAGGGCCTCACACATGCTAGGCAAGCACTCTGCCATTGAGCTATATCCCCAGTCCTTTTTATTTTATTTTGAGACAGGATCTTTCTCAGTTATGGAGGCTGACCTTAAACTTCAGATCCTTCTGCCTCAGCCTACTGAGTTGCTGGGATTACAGGCATGCACCACCACACCTGAGCTTAAGGATTGTCTTTTCTAGTTGCTGGAACAATTGAATATTCATACATAACAGCAAAATGAACTCCAATCCATACCTTGCACTAGGCATAAGACTTAAAATAAATGAGAGGTATCAACGCAAAGCCTAAAAACATAAAATCTCTGAAAGCACACATAGGAGAAAAAATCTTGATTAGACAAAAATTTCTTAGATCCAGACACAAGTGATTCATGAAAAGATAAGTCACAAACTGGGAGAAAATATTTGCAAATAACTTGTATACAGACTATATTAAGAACTATGAAAACTCAGTTAATTTAAAAACCTCATAAAAATGTGCATTTGAATAGACACTTCACTAAAGAAGGACATGGGTAGCTGTAAGTATGTGAATAGCAGCTCTGCATTGTTAGCCAGAATACAAACTAAAACCACAGGGAGATACTACTGCACGCAAATTAGTGAAAGTTAAGACATGCTGACAATACCAGGTACTGGGGAGGATGTGGGAAAACTGGGGTGTAGTATGCACAACCACTTTGAAAAACAGTTTAGCCATTTAAAAAAAAAATTTGTACTTGTAGATAGACAGAATGTCTTTATTTTTTTATTTTTATGTGGCGCTGAGGATCGAACCCAGGGCCTCACTCATGCCTGGCACACGCTCTACCACTGAGCTACAGCCCCAGCCCCACTTGAGCCATTTTTAAAAAGTTAGACACATAACATGCCGTGTGACCTTGCTGCATCACTGCTAGGATTTGCCAAAGAAAAGGAGAAGCATGCGTCCATATGGACTTGTATACAGGTGGTTCCTGAGGCTTTATTTGCCCCAAATGGTGTCTGTCGACAAGTCAGTAAACAAATTAAGGGACATCCATATGATGGAACATTACTTACCAATAGAAGGAGCAATGAACTGTTGATATCTGCAGTGACATGAATAAAATGATTATTCTGAAAGAAGCCAGAGTTTAAAAAAAAAATAGTATGTGCTTATGTTTACATAAAATTCTGGAAAAGGCAAACTATTGTATAGTGACAGGTCTAATTGCTTAGAGGGCAGTGAGAAAGGTCAGGAAGAGGAGTTCCACAGGGACATACAAATTTCAGGTCATAGGTAAGTTCAGTGTCTTAATTGTAGCAAAGATTGTATGTGTTCACACATGTGCACGGCAAAAGTTTTCAAAATTGTGTACTTAAAATATGTATAGTTCATTGAATGCTAATTATCTTATTAAAGCTAAGGAACATTATGTAGGGCTCTGCTCTGAGAGAGCCTTGTTAAAAGGTGGATAATACGGGACCCAACTCCTCGTTCTTGTGCAAACTTTGGGCTTTAAAAGATGACTAGACACTAGATCAGTGCTTGACTCATCGTTCAATTTCTGTGACTTTTCTTGTCTTGTACTAGATTATAAACTCTCAGTGAGCAAGGTGCCATGTCTGCCATCATTTCACTCAGTCTTGAACTTGGCATGGGTATTTTAACATGAACAGGACCGTAGGGCTGGGGAGGTGGCTCAGTAGTAGAGCACCTGCCTAGCACGTGTGAGATTCTGGGTTCAATCCCCAGCACCATAAACAAATCTGAACAGTATACAAAATGTTTGGATATATTTTAAATTAATACAACAGGTAACTAAATTAAGATACTGTTCAATATGAATAAGGACTTTAAAAAGAACTGAGGAATTTGGCATCCACTAATTTGTCAGTTATGGTATTTACATGTTTAGAATTACATGGGAAATATGTAGAATTTTTCATTGTCTTAAATAATAGTGTCTGTATGTATGAAATGGTCTCTGAAAAGTGTTTCCTATAAGCACTGTAATGTAACTGTCACCCTTAATTCTTTGACTGATTTTAGAATGCAGTTCAGTCCTTGGGAAAATTGCTTATGTCATCAGTGAGGAATGCCACCAAAATAGCTTCTCACTTAAGTTCCCATCCCCAGAGCTAACCCACAGGAGGTTCCGATAAATTCAAAGATTTAATAACTCGTATTTTTCTTTCTCCTTCCACACAGGCCCTCTGGTCCTGGCGGCAGGAGCATGGGGTGGATTCTTGGCAGTCAGCGGTCTGTGGAGCTTTTGCAGGTGCAAAGGATTATATTATACTGGGAAAGACCAAAGAAGGGGAGAAAATGTGAAAATATTAACTATGCAAAAACAACATTCTTTAGAAATTTCAGATTGCTTAGATGAAGAGAGCCTCTCTGGCTGTTTGAGAAAAGAAAGTGTCTTGGGCGGGTGGGGGGACCCAGCTGCTCAAGGTGTCTACCTGAAAGACAACCAATTTGTTTTTGACAAATTTTTCTTTTTTCTTTTTATCTTTATTAAAGCCTTCACTCAGGCTCTTGGATTATCTTAAAGATGATTTACAAAGTCCTCTGTGGGAAGAGGCTTTCTGTGGTGCAGGGGAAGCACACAGCTGCCTGCCTGGAGCAGGGCTTCGGGCTTGAAGCGATCTTTGCAAAAGGCAGTGATTCACGGTCCGTGAGACATGTTTGACAGCATGGTAGATTAACTAGTGTCAGGAGAGCAGAGGCCACTCCACAGCTTACCGAAGGCTAAACTGCACTTGGGTAGAAAATATGGCCATCCAAACATCTGGCCATTTCCAAGACAATAAAGCAAGGGCTGAGTGACAATATGCAGTATTGTGTTATCGATCACTCAGTCATAGGAGTTTTCCAGTGAGATTTTAATGAGAACTCAGATGCTTTAAAGAATTTAATAAGTAATGCATTTAAAAGCCTCAGAGAGAAATATATTTTGTTGTTACAAAAAAAGGGCAAATTAGAATTAACAGTTGTAATAAAATGAGGTGGAAATTTCCCAGAAAATGATGAACTGTTAGTTTAGATACAAAGCTGGTGAATTGACAGGTAGGTAGATTTAGGGTGTTGACTTTTTTGGAAAATAATTCTTTTTTTTTTTTTTAATCTTATTTTTTTTTTGGTGGGGTTCTTTTTTTTTTGTCTTTTTTGGAACTGGGGGTCGACCAGGGCTTTGCGAATGCAAGGCAGACGCTTTGCCACTGAGCTACATCCCAGCCCTGAAAATAATTCTTTTCCAGTTTTCTTAATGGTTATTGGATTGGTTTTTTTTTTCTTATAGCTATTAGAAAAACAGAAAACATACATCTTATAGGATTCTTTATTAATATTTAAACCCATTTGACTTGTAGATTATTTTGTCTCTAGATGTGACATCAACCCAGATTGATTATGATGGGTAATTGTTTCCACGTGACACCTGGTCATTAGCTGTGTTAAAGGAGTAGGTGGTCTTGATTCATTCCCAGAGGTCAGGGGTCTATCACCCAGCCACAAAGAACAGTGTGCGTTTTTGTTGACTGCTTCCTGGGCCTGGGGACAGAGTGAGCATTATGGAAATTTAGTTACCCTGAATTAGGAAGGCTACTTCTTAATGTTAACAATAGCCTAAAACTTTATGTGTTGAAGTGAGTACGGATTCTGCTGTCACGTTCGTTAAATAAGTAATTCAAAGATCTGCTTGCAGATACTTTGATATTGTATGTCCAGGAAATTGCCATTCATTACAGTTAGTTCCTTTTTTGAATAATACTCTACACTAAGTACTCCCATTTGTCAGAGGAAGGAAAGTTTAATATGTGTGCTGTAGTAGGAGCCTGCCGCCCCAGCTCAGGAGGCTCCCTTAAGGAGCCCAGAAACTCGCTCCCAAGCCAGCCGAGGGCACCTGGATGAGGGGCAGGGGAGTAAGGTGCCCAGAGTCTCGAATCTGACTGACCAGGCAAACCTCTAGGTGCCCTAACTCTTGAGGGAGAATGGGGAGCCTTCCTGAGCACCAGTTCCCTTACCTGTAACTAACATGGGGACAACCACTCAAGGGATTTCCTCAGGTTGAGTGAAATTCTGTACACATTGACACTTGGTGATCCATCAGACTCAACACCTGTCAGAGCTGTTACTCTTTCAGTCAGAACAAGCAACACCCAGAAAATGAAAAGCTATTGTAATGATTTATCCTTTCAATTACATTGAAAGACTAATGTCCTGTATGCTAAAGCTACTACACAGAAGGATAGTCTCTCACAGCTTATAGATTTAGGTGAGGTTCTGATAAGTGAAGGTGTTCAGTTTGTCCAAGGCCTGCAAAAAAATCTGTTGGAAACAAATCCACATATATTAAATATGGTTTTTGTTTATATCCCTCTTTCTGTTGAAATTTTATTTGGCACGAACATTGGTCCAGAAGAACAAAGTTACTATTTTAAATCACAGCTGATAAACTCCATTTGGAAACCACCCAGGCCGTGAGGAAGCCATAGTAAGAGCTGGTTGCCCTGTAGGTTGAGTAAGGGGCTTACGCAGGCCCCGATGCCTCACCTCCAGACTCCTTACCTTACATGGCCATAAAAGCATGATGAGACTCGCCCCCGAATCAGAAATCAGAGTTCTCCTTGTGTGCTTTTCCAAGTTTAAATGGGCTGAATTGTTGCCAGTGACCCGCTCTCTGCCACCCTTGGCACTCTTCCATGCTTGTTTTATAAACTGGTTGGTGCAAATATCCAGAAATGTCTCTTGAGATTGGAGGTGTTGATGGCTTGTCATGCTCAGAAATTCCCTTGGCTTCTGGTCAGGGGTTAAGCTAGGAGAAAAAGGGACTTTGCCAACTTCCTCACTTCTGGCTAACTTGTAAACATAAAGCCATATGCTATCTGAGTAATTAGGACATTTACCACTCTTGTTTTATTTGGTACTCTAATGTTTTTGATCAATTTCTTATAATAAACACCTTCTTATATTCTCTAAGAGAGAAGAGGATTTCGGGGGAGAGAGCTCTCTCTCTCAGCAGGCTTGACATTCTTATTTGGGTAACAAATGACAAGGCCTGGCACAGTCTTTAAAATGCACACGAACCACACTGTGCACACTTGCTTGGAGATCACACTGCTGTAGGCAGTGCTCTGTTCCTCCCAGACTGAGCCCAGAGAGGGAAGGGGAGCAGGAAGGGCAGCAGGGCCCCCTGGGCTTGTGCTTTCCTACCACAGCCCTGCCACATCCTCAGGCAAGTTGGGTGATCACACTCCAAGCCTGCTGTAGGAAGGTGGCTCCTTTGACCACAAAGGTCAAGGTTGCGTTTGTTCCTTGAGGAAGAGTGAGAGGTGGTTTTATTGTCAAAGTCTAGGTTACCCTGAATGTGGCGCTTACAAGCAGGTACCGCCTGAGGTTCAGTAGAGCTACCAGAGGTGGAGCTCCTAGGAGCGCACAGGGAATGGCTTCACACGTGCTGTGAGCCCGAGAGCAGCCCATTCTTGGGTCCTGGGGAGTTATTTCCCGTCTGACATGTTAGCGTGTTCTTTGTGTTTTTTACCAGTAGCTTACAGCTCCCTTAAGTCAAATGCAGAAAATAACTACATTTTAACTGAAAGTCCACACCCTGCTATCTACCCGTTACAACCGGCTAGTCTGCTATTTTATTTTCACAAGTTCTTTTTGCAGCTTCTCAGAAACATTGTGAGGTCTGTAAGTTGAAGCAGTCTGATGTTTGCGTATGTTCAAATTGATTTATTAATTGACTTACATAAAACATACAGTTTCTATCATGGCAGTAAAATTAGGGCCTATCAAGGCAAATGTGTTTCTGTGTTTAACTTTTCTTTCAATTACTTTTATGAAATATAAATCTCTAAGAGAATATTGGCAGGCGTCCACAGTAAAGGGTGGTAAACCTTCGCCTGTGGCCAGAGTGAGTTTGATTTGCAGTATCCAGATTATTAAATTTTCCTTGTCAAGTTTTAGTACTTTTTGAGTTGGTTTAGGGCAGTTTGTGAACATTTTCAAATAGAAAGATGAGTTTTAACCATCAGACAAATCTTACTTCGCTTATCCTACACAGGGAGCCGTTAGGTAGTGGGGAGAGCGCAGCTTTTGGAGTGAAGATATGCTTTTCAGCCATTGGCAGATGGGAATGTAATGCCTGGGCCTGAGGCCACCTAGGCAGCGACAGTGTTTGGAGGGCTGTAGACAGGAAGCGGTACTGTGCAGATTAGTGCTCCTGTCCCTTCTTGTGCTATTTAGAGGACGAGCTGACAGGTGGTTTTTTTTTTTTTTTTTGGTACACTTTTGAAGCCATAATAAGAGCTGTCATACATAGTAAGTGCCTACTGTGTGCACTGGGCCAGAGGAATGAAGAAGAATCACTCATTACCTCTGCCCACCTGGAGCAGAGTGCTTTGGTCACTGCTGTGCTGTGTGGTGCAGATGAGGTCTCTGAGGCAATGGAAACCAGTGGCCATTGGTGCTGCTTCTGGAGTGGCCTGAAGAGCAGGTGTCAGCTCTGCATGGTGTCCAGCCTCCACAGGCCGCTTTTCTCTCCAGGCTCCCCATACAGGGCCTGGCTCCCTCAGAAAGTGCTGTAGCCAGGGAATAAGTGATTAAGCTAAGGCCGGTCATCTGCAGAGCAGGGACTTAAGCCTCGGGTCTCCTGACCATGGAGAAGACCAGTCTCCAGGTAGGTCTGCCTGCCAGCCCTGCCGCTGGTCAGGGGAGCTGCTCTGGAGTGGGAAGCAGGGACAAGAGGGGTCTGTGGCCTTTGCTTCCTTTGCTTCTGTCTTAGGGTGTTTGTTTTGTTGTAATTTGGGATGGATGTGAAGCTTTTCTGGACTGTATTCTAATTAAAAGTATATCTGGTTTTCTAGGGCACAATGTATGCTTTAGGACTCGGTCCACAAAATTTGAAAATATCTGAGGTTTCTTAATAAGTTTCTGAATTTCAGGCAACCTTGGGATTTGGATCCAAGTAACTCACACTTTCCTAATCCTAAAGAGGCCGCAGCACAGAGCAATCTAATATTCCTGTGAACTGGCACTCCCCGGCCCCAAGGTGACATTCATGGAAAACTCAAAAACAGGGCTGAACGCATGGATGGGCCACCTTGGCACACTTCTGTCATAATAAATGTTACCATAGGAAGGAGGGTCTCCATCATGGTCTTATTTAGAAAGATATTTGGCAGAGACCAGATGGCCCTCTTGTCCTCCAGCCACAGCAGTTGGGGTGGGGTAGAGCTGTTTCTGGACCCCCTTCCCAGTGTTCAGCCCTCGTGAAGCCGCCCTTCCCCCGCCTGGATCTGGGCAGCTGAATCTTCTGAAAGCCCTTTAGGATTTTTTTTTTTAACACATGACAGTACAATGATCTTGACATTTCTTTAGGATTCGTTATTTCTCTCTCCTTCAGGTTTCACATGTCTTTGTACCACATGAAATAAAATATTGACATCATAAACTGTAGGGTTTTTTAAAGTCTTTTGATTTCTGTGCCTCAGAAACAGACCTTGTTAAAATCTGTGAACAAGTTGGCTGCGGTGGCATTCAGAAAGGGAACACAAGAGAGCGGGTAGGAAGGCAGCCCGGAGCTAGAATGCCTGCTGCAGCCCGAGGACTGGAGGCTGCAGATGAGCCTGGAAGGGCAGTTGCTTCTCTCAGCATGTTACTAGAAGCCAGGGGCATACACTTAACTTGAAGGATTCAGCCATTTACACCCTAAATCTCACATGATACACAGAACTCTGTTAATTTTATATTATCCACAGAAGAAATGATAGAAGCATTTGGAGTCCGTTTAAGTGGCCAGTGGAAACATGGCCCCCGAGAATTGTTGGGGGCCGTGCATGTCCCACTATCTGTGGGTACCTGGCCGTGTACGTCGTATACAAAACCAGTTCGTTGGCTGGCCTTGGAAGGAGCCGGGTGTACCGGAGGGCACTGTTTTGTTCCCTTAGTGGGGAAGGCGTTCACTTTTACTCTTTTAAGTGCAGTTCTCCATCACTGCAAAAGAAATGAAGCATGTGGCTTGAGATCTTGCAGGTGTGCATCCTGCTTCCGAGTGCTCGAGTGCACATCAGGATGAAGAAATGGCTTTGGCAGGGTTTTGAGGAGTTATGAAGTAATGATTATGAAATCGCCATCTGGTGCAGTCCCATCTCACTGTTTGCTGGGTTTTCTCTATACAGGTGGCTTTGCAGCTGCAGTCACCACCCCTCTGGATGTGGCAAAGACAAGAATCATGTTGGCAAAGGTAAGTAGAAAATAATGTTGTGGAGACATACCTGTCGGTGCCAGGTCTTGCAAGTATGTGAAGCAAATAAAAGCACCTGTGAATCATTCTTAAAACTAACATGGAAGTCCCATTAGCTATGGTGATCACTATGACAAATGTGTCCTGTGGCGTTTCTCATCTTCTGGTCATTTTCACCTACATTGTGGAGGTAAATAGGTCCGAAGGCCTTAGCCTTGAATTTTATTTTCAAATCTATTTTTCCTGGTGACAGGCCTAAGGCCCTGAGAGGCTGATAGCTTCATACCTTGTGGCAGCTAAGCTGTGGGCTCTGAACCTGTGCAGTGTTTTAATCAGATAAAACCCTTATCAGAGTTGCTACAAAACAAAACAAACAAAACTGTAAAAAAGAAAAATGGTTGAAAGAAGAAAAAGCTAGACAGAGTTCAAGAAATACCATACGAATAACAGATCTGGACCAAAACAGTTTTTTTTTTTTAAAGTCCCATCCTTGTGAAACAGATGTGAACAGAACAGAGCTGTAGAATTTAGGTGGAGAGGACCAAACCTTGGAAAGTGGCTCAGGTTTAAGTTGAACTCGATGCTCTTTATTCAGTGTGTTTTGTAGCCAGATGGGCAGCTTTCTTAATTACACTGTTTACTCTGGTGACTCCTGTCCTCCTCAGATTAAGTTATTTTGCTTCCAAAGTAGCTGTGTGTCAGCTCTGAAAAGCCAGTCCCCTGGGGTGGCCTGGGCCACATCACTGCTTTCCTGTGAGACTGAGTATAAGCACTGTCAGGGGGCGAGACCCAGTCCTGACTCCGGATCAGCTGTGTCCTATGTGAGGGTGGGGATGAGGCATGTATTTGAAGACATCTGGGAGTCAGCGACCTTAGGCCCAGGCAGCAGGTAATTAATTTTTTGTCTTTTCCTGCAGGCTGGTTCCAGTGTAGCCGGTGGCAACGTGCTTTCTGCCCTGCGTGGGGTCTGGCGGTCACAGGGGCTGGCAGGGTGAGGACAGCGCGAGTGCTCAGCTGCCTCGCTCCGCTCCACTGGCCCTTCCTATCTGCCTTCCATGGGGCGGACCTTTCCTTTCTTCTCCTTATGGTTATGTCCTGGTCCAGGTCCTGTTTTTCACATCGTACAGGATGTTCTGTTTGCTGTTGCACACGTGAAAAAATAACATGGCTCAGTCGAGTCAGTGCAGTGTCCTGCCCAGATGCTTCTCAGTCTGGTCCGTCCTGGTGTTGCATAGCATTGACTGTGGTGCTAGCAGGCCAGCATCTGGGCTGCAGCCACCAAGAAATAAGCTCCTGGTTGCACAATGCAGAAATGCAGGAGAGGGAGGGGAACATTGTTGCAAGAAAGCATTTGTGGTTTTTGTACTTTATTAGCAGCACATTCTAGTCATACCTCCATGGGGTCATTTCCTGTGTTGATATGCGATTTCTATCATTTGTTGTTTTGTTGGGAGGTGATTTTGTTGTGAGGCAAACATAAGTGTGCTCCAAAGATCTGAATGGTGTCGCCTGACCCCGACCCAGGCTGTGTGGCAGTCTGTCCCTCCTAGGCTGCACGCCACACCACCACCTCAGCGAGTGCTGCAGGCAGCTGTAGTGTAATAGGAAATAGCCGCATCTCCAAACATTTAAACATCAAAAAGGAGCAATAAAAATACGAGGTGTTAGTGCTTTTCCAGCTGCATCATAATCGCCTGGGACCACCGCCACACTCGGCCCCCGCCAGCGCTGCCTTGTAGTGCATGACTGTACTTTCAAATTTCCCACGCAGTTGAGAGTCGTTCTGTATTGTTGGCCAAGCACCTCAGACTTTTTAGCTTCACATCCCAAACAAACAGGCTCTCTCTTCAAGATGTTGTTCCAGCATTCCTTTCACAATATAAATTTATGAATCTATAAACATTGGGATCTTACAAATAAGTCAAAATAAGACTTTCTCTTAGGAGTCCACTGCCAGGGTTAATAGACCAGGGTGTTACCTGGAACCCCAGCTACTTGGGAGACTGAGGCAGGAGGATTGCAAATTCGAGCGCAGCCTGGGCAACTTAGTGAGACCCTGTCTCAAAATAAAAATAAGAGGGATGGGGGTATGGCTCAGTGGTAGAGCACCCCTGGGTTCAATCTCCAGGACCGGAAAAAAAAAAAAAGCAAAACAAAACCAAACCTAAGCAGTGCCAGAATTTATAGGCAAAGAAATGGTATCAAAAACAGGCCAAGGGCTGGTCTCTGTTCTTGAGCCCAGTTTCAGTCCTGAAAAGGTACTGTGGCTTTCCGGCTCATCTTCTGCACACCCTTGAAGTGAGAGGCTGTAGTTAGTGTGCAGAGTGGCCTTGTGGAAGGTGCCCTGGGCAGCAGAGGTGTTCACTTAAGATGCAGGTGGTTTTAATCAGCCCTGTATTAATACGATAGAAGACAACAAGAAATTTGACCAAAAAACAAATGAAAGGAAAGATACTGGCCCTGGGCATGGTCAGCCCTGAGGATGGCTGAGCCCGCTTGCTCTGTCCGGTTTCTACCCACAGCCCAGTTCGCCCAGTTCCCACCTGCCTCCCCCTGGGGTGAGCGCTGCTGCCCTCTCGTGGCGGGTTCAGGTGGTGGCCACCTTCCCTCCGTGTAGGCAGGCTTTCATAGGAGATTCTGGCATGTGTCTGGAATGTGTGCCCTGGAGCAACCGTTTTCCCTAGGTGAAAGTCCTAGGTTGTGAAGCAGCAGCTGGGAGTCCTGCCTGCCGTGGACCCGCCTGCTGCCTCTTCTGTTGGTCAGCTGCTGTGGTTGTCCTTTATGTAATAATGGCTGAAGCTGGGAGCAGGTCTGTGATCTGTGGTCCCTGGACCACACCCTTCCCTTTGGCTGGGGTGCTCACTGTTCAGATCACTTTTAAGGCTGCAATTATGTCCTTAGATTCAGTTGTCATTTTGTGAAACCATAAACTACTTCCAAATGCCTCTGACCAGGGGCAGCAGAGCTTGTTAGTGGCAATCGCGGGACTAGATACTGGCTTAGAAACCAGGAAGATGGTGAGGGAGGAGTCAGGGGCCAGTGTGGTCTCCCACGGCTCAGTCTCCCATGCCTTTCTCCCCAGCGCCCTTCTTCTTTGCAGGGCCTTGACCAGGGAGATGAGTCTATTTTCAAGCCAGGTCACAGTGGCCTCCAAAGCAATCATTCAGAGTTTCTGCCCCACCAAACACCTCATGCAAAACCTATGTGCATGATGCTGAGCTGAGTGTCTTTTGATCTTCTAGTGAATTTTTATGGTTGCCTTCAGGCAATTTAGGAGGATTTCTTTTTTTAAGTGTAGTATTTTACTTAATAATTTAAACCTGGAGTTAGCTAACTAAAAAGTGCCCCCTTTTCCTCAGAGGTGTTAAATGCTGCCCGGGGGAGGCTGGTGGACCTCGCAGCCAGGGGCTGAGGGCATCCAGCAGGATTCCTTCCTGTCAGCTACCAGTGGCTCATCACGGGGGTCTCCCCATATCTTCAAAATGCACAGCTGCTATTGGCACAGGAGGTTCAGCTTCCTGCCCTAGTCCCGGGTGTCGTCACTAGTCTACTAGCATAGCCGCCATTTCTGGTTTTGTTGTTTTTCCTGTGAACAAAAGTACTCCTCTTGGTAAAAGGGTCCAGAGGCTATAGAAAAATAGGCAGGGCAGTCTGTCACCTCCACAGCAAGCAGCTGTTCGCCTCCCTCCCAAGTTCTTTGGTCACCACGTGGTCACATGGACTTGTTTTTTCAATACCTACATGTAAATATTTTGAGTGGCGCCTGTGGCCTGCCTCATCCTATCAGCTGCCTGCAGTAGACTGTGTTTCTATGGCCATGACCCAGGGAACCACACCAGGGTCACTGCAGCCTTTCTTTTCTCAACAGCAGTGTCATTGTGGACATACTTGAAGAAATACCTGTGTGACCAGGGGAGGTTATAAAGAATAACCCATGGAAGGTTCCCAGGGCCAGCTCTTGTGCCTGAACTGTTCACAATTGCCCGGGTGGCCCAGGCCCAGGGACTGTATGCGTAATGCTGCTCCCCCGCCCCCCCAAGCCTCTCACCCTTTCTTGTCTGGTATTAAAAGAACACATCCGGGATCCCTGGAGGGTCTCTGAGCACAAAGCGAGTGAGTGATGGCAAGAGCTGCCCTCCCTGAGGGTGACCCCAGAGGCCAGCCTGGCCTGGGAGTCAGCCCTAGGACTCCTTGTACAGGGGTCCCCTTCCCCATCTCAGAAGCTGCTGCCCTCTCATGGCGGGTTCAGAAGCTTCCCCTTCCCCATCTCAGAAGCTCTTCAAGAGCGCGGCTGTGGGACAGGTGCCCTGCCTTTGCCTGGTGCTCAGAGGACCCTGCCTTCCCCTGGGGTGCTCAGGGGTAAGCCGGTGTCCTGCCACGGCCACCCACGGGCAGCTGGCCCAGACAAAGCTACTGGGGATGTCGTTGAGGGCTGTTCCAAAAAGGGCCACGCAGGGCCTGATGAGCAGGCGCTGAGCCTGGGGGTTCAGCCAGCTGGACACTCACTGTGACTGTCCTTTCCTCTAGGTTATTTGCGGGTGTCTTCCCTCGGATGGCCTCCATCAGCCTGGGAGGGTTCATCTTTCTGGGTGCCTACGACCAGACCCGCTGCCTGCTGTCGCAAGTGGGCAGAGAGGGTTCCTAGTGGACGCCATTCGCGCACGTCCATGAAGAATCGGGAGCACAGAACCTGTGCTGAAGCCCAGAGCTGCCGTCACTGTGACCCTGAGGCCATGGTACCACTGTCAGGCCTGCTGCAGTTGTCCTCAGTGTGCCACAAAGAAGAAAGTGCGTCATGGTGGGACTCTGAACGGACCCTCAGAACCCTTAATAAATGCACCTGGCAGTGCCAGCGAGCTTGCGTTTCATCTGTATCTGATCTTCCATTTCCTGCCACCTGATGGTTACAATTTGAAAAGAATAACAAGATGCAGGGAGGGGTTGTGTGTGTGGGTGTTTGTCCCTGGGGTCAGTCCCTGTGGTGTAAGGTTAGGGCTCTGTTCAGAAAGCACCACCCCCACCCCTGCTCAGTCTCTCTTTCTGGTAGCCAGGGGCTGTGTCCAATGACCCTCAGGTGGCACCTCGAACAATACGTGATCCTAGTATTTTATAGAAGTGTCTGGTGACCCTGTGGTGTGTGAGAGGCAGCGGGCATCTGCGGCCCAGGGGCTAAATGGGGGCACGCAGTCCCTCAGGAAGGCCAAGCCCTGCTCCATGGCTCTGCCTCCAGGCTGAGACGGGGCCTGGGCCAGCGCTGGGGACAGCAGGGCTTCCTTTTTCTTAGTGGGGTCATGGCCTACAGTTGCAAGCTCATCCCTGGAAGGCAAACAGATGAGCTGGAAAGGTCACCATACTTGGGGATTTTAGGGCTTGACTAACGAAGTCCAGGTGTAGAAAAATTCAGAGAGAAATCTTAGGAATCTAGTAGTGTCGTGTCTGCCCTGGAGCCACAGTACATGATCCTGCCTTGCCTAATTTTTCCCGTTTGGGAAAAAATATTAAAAGCGACTGCATTGACCAGGGAATCTCTGGAAAGGAATGAACACGCCCAGCCATACGCTCAACACTTATAAATGAACCTTTATTAAAGACACATCAATGCCATTTGTTAGACACTTCAATATTTTACATGTTTTCAATGTACATTGTACCAAAATTTCTATAAATAAATAACTTTGTACATAAAAGTAATACTTCCTCTTTCACATTGCCTCTCAGAAGCAGCAAATTCACATATTTTGTGGAAGTAACATTTATCAGTTAACCGTTGAGGACAAAACTAAATGTGCTTACCTTCTGGAACAATGATGACCTCTGACAGGAACATCTGACACAGGTAGCCATTTGGCTAATATCTCCCTTCAGCTTTTTGGCTAAAGAAATGTACTTTGAGTCTTTTTAAGGACCTTATTTGTTTCAATGTAATTTTCAGTGAATTACACATTGGCACTCACAAGACGGTTAGCTACAGGTCTCAAAAGTGCAAACACACCCAGATCTAGGGCTACATCTGACGAAGTCCATGCCCAGTCCCTGCTGTGTAAGGGGAGGGCGTGGACGGGCCTGCTCAGGCTCCTCAGTAGACATGAGCTAGCCCTGGAAGGTGAGAACTTAATCTTTTTTACCCCCAATGTAATATTATATTGGCAGAATTAAAACGTCACTATTGAAAAATCCACAGGTACCAACACCAGCAGCCTTTGCCTTAATAAAAAGCCTCAGCTAACAATCCGGCGACACGGACAAGACCACATTTGCTTTTAACAAAACGTGAGCTTCAGAGAAGGGAGAAAGGCCTACCGTCCTGACCCATGGCTTGTGGTGGATTAGCAACCTTCACTCCTCAAGAAGCAGCCTCCAGGGAAAAGCCCCTCACAGCAAAGGCACATTGCAGGAGCCACCAACGCAGGCCGAACGTGACTGCGAAGGGCACACAACACCAAGGACTCCCCGTCCTTCCAAACCCACCAGGAACCCCGGGAAACAAACGTGGCTTGTCTCTAAATTCCCGCCATGCACTAAGGCACCAGAACTATTACCGACGCCCCTCCAAGGAAACAGCAACCTGATAGGAAAATAATATTGTCAAAACTGTATAATTCTGTTGTTAACCATGCACTAAGGATTAAAATAGCCTCTGTCAAAGATATATAATATATAGGAAATCTCTGGAAACTCTTATGTACAACTGTATCAAATACTTTTTCTGCCTTTTGTACACAAATAGCCTCTTGCATTTCTGTGCTTCAGATGCGAGTCCTCTGCCCGGCTCGTGCTCCACACGGAAGTGACAACTATGTACAGCTCAGCGACGCTGACCCCGGCCGCCTCCCGGCCTCCCCGCCTCTCCTTCCTGTGGACACTGGTGTGACAGGAGCTGAGGTAGACAGAGCCTAGCTTGTGGGCGCCGACAACAATGGTCCCCTCCGTTTCCCAGGGAGCTGTCCTGTCAGTGGTGTGGACTCAGGACTGGAGTCACATGCCTGGGGGAGGTGGCCATTGGAAAGGAGCAAGTGCTGGGCTTCGCTGGGGACAGCAGGAAAGGCCAGGGAGGCCTCTGGGAGCTCCATGCTGCCTGAAGGGTAAGCAGGGCAGGGCTGCAGGGCTGCGGGGTCCGCGTCGCACAGCCTCGCTAGAGTCCAGGCGGAGCCCCCTGGGGAGAGAGAAGGCCGTCAGAGCCGCGTTCCAGCATGACCAGCGGTGGCGGCCAGTGCAGCTGCCAGGGAGGCCAGGAGGACAGTAAGGGATCACCTTTTCCATCTAGGGACACCGCCGGCTTCCTCAAGGATGTCAGCATTCTGTCGTGGTTGCTAGGGTAGAGGGACCCGTCCCCGGCCCCACTGCGAGGATGATGTGGAGAGTCTCCTCGGTCGCCCTGGCTGGGATCCTGGCCACGCAGTGCACTTGGCTGTGTGCTGTCCCTGCATGTGGGCTGAGGGTGTGGAGCCTGCTCCTTGGAGTAACTGTCCACGTCAGCATTGCAGTCACTGCACACCAGAGGGACACTGAGTTCTGAAGGAGAGATGGGCCAGGTCAGAGCCACCCCCACAGAACAGGCCACCCGCCCGAACCCAAGTGGGGTCCTGCCCCCCGGCCCTGCAAACGCCCCCTCCCCAAAGACTTTCACCGAAAAGGCTGGGCACACGCCATGCCGTTAGTGGAGATGGGGTCCTTCATGCTCACATGCCCCAGATTAAGCTAATCTTGTACTTAGAGAATGTAGTCACGCTACTGTGATCACAGGCAAAAAGAAAAAAAAATTGAAAAAGAAAAACTCCAACAGTTGAATTAGGTACCATGCAGGGTTAAGAGTTTTCTGAACAATTAGAAATTTAACCTCAAAACAGCCGTGGTGAACAGATACTAAAACCCCCTATGTTGCTTATTATTCTGGAAAATTCTTGCTCAGGTTTACTGTACCATAAATAGTAACTAAGAGACACACTCTTCTAGAATTAAAAGGGCACCAGGCCAGAGCTTCCTGTTTATATACTAAATACAAAAGTTCAGAGAGTGCTAGATGGAAATGTAGGCGTCTCCCCTCTTCATTTAGTGAGTGGTCAACCCAGATCTTGATTTCAAAAAGGCATTGCTTTTCCTGGTGGAAGCATCACCTACCCATCTTAGGTGGACTAGCTGTCCCAGTGGCTTTTTCTGTCACTTTCCAGGGCTCTTTACTGTACCCAACGCAGAGCTTGGGCTGCCTCCGCGTGATGCTGTGGACATCAACCTCTGGGAAGAGGCCCGCATCTCTCAGACACGCACCTGCAACAGACTCCCCGGGTTAGAAACTGCAGAGGACGTCTCAGTGGGCCCGAGGAGCAGGACGGGTGGGGCTGCTGCTGTAGTCTCCCTATCAGTGGTGAGTTACTGCTGTGCCACCACAAAGCTGGCAACGGGCCTATTTCTAGTACCACTTTCCCAGCAAGCAGCCCTTGAGCAGCCATGTTAGAGGAGCAGCTCTCTCAGGCCCACCTTCAGCTCAGCAAGCGCTCGCGATCTCCCACCCACCAACTGAAACAGCGTCCCCTGCAGAGAGCTTTCCCTGCGAGTCTGGAATACAGAGCAGGTATGGGCACTGCCCCTGCACTCGCATCCCTTGGTACCTTCGTGGTGCCAGAGCCCCATATAGATCCCAAAATCCAGGGATGCTCAAGTCCCTTGTATACAGTGACACACCATTTGCACATAACCTACATACACCGTCCCATGTAAGTCACCTGTAGATTAAGCATCGTGACTAGTAAAACGTAACTTTGTGTACACAGCTGTTGTACTGTGTCTTTAGGGAATAATGACAAGGAAAAGAAGGCTGCCTGTTCGTCACCTTCTCTGCCCTGGATGTTTCTAGTGTGTAGGTACTCGAACCCACAGATACCAAGGGCCAACTGTGGAAGCAGGGCTTGTTTTCAGGGCCTGGGGTTTCCCTTCAGCTGTTTCTGACAGCAGTCCTGCCTATCCCGCCTGGGAGGCTTACTGCTAAGCCCAGATGGTGACTTTCCTGAGAGACAGGATGTTGAAACCTCTGCAGAGCTTGCACAGACCAGGACTGAGCTGAACAGCAGAGGCCTGGGCCAGCAGCCGCCTCGTTCACCTGACACTCCCTCCCCATCTAGTGCCAGACACCTGAATAGGGAGCTACAGGCCACCTCCACCTACAGGGGACAGTCACCTAGAGCTCCACCTCACTGTCAGAGGCCTTACCGTTGCTCTCGATGTGCCCGTTGGCCCGATGGCCACCCTCACTCCTGACCACAGTTTCTTGCCGGTCAGAAAGGGTCCCCTGAGAAGAGAGGTAGCTTGGAACATCTGGTGGTACAATGGTTTCATCTGCAAGGAGATAAGAAAATGAAACATCAGGGTTCAGGGACAACAGATGCAGATGCGCATTCACCGTCAGGCCCCAAACAGGATCCCCTGGCAACAGCCATCAGGGCTGCGCAGAGACCAAGTGGAGTCGGTGCAGGTAGAAGGCCCTCCCAGACCAGAGCCGAACCTGAGTCCAGATCAAAAGCATGTGAGACCACAAAAGACGGGGAAGAGGGACAGGAAGGGAGACAGAACTAACCACAGCACTGTGAGGTGTCAGAGACAGTCCACCTCTGCTTATGAGGACGACGTCAGCAGGAAGTTCTTTTTTTTTTTTTTTAGTTGTCAATAGACCTTTATTTTATTTATTTATATGCTGTGCTGAGGATCGAACCCTGTGCCTCACTCTTGCCAGGCAACTGTGCTACCGCTGAGCCCCAACCCCAGCCCCAAGGCAGTTCCATTTCTGGCTCTGCCCTGAGTTTGAACCCAGTGTCTGCAGGACCGAGGCTTCAGTTCTCCAGAACCACATTCCCAGAGGTCCTGAGTTCCCAGAGCACGGGAGCTCTTGACGAAGAGTGTGGACCTGGCTTCTCCTGCCTGGAAAGGGGCGGCCACGGTGCCCACCTGTGTTGGTGACGCTGTACTCCTCGCTCTTCTTCCTGGTTTGGTAGATGATGCACACCCACACCAGCGACGTCAAGACGATGCTGCACACCACGGCAATGGTGAAGATGCCCACGGTGGTCCCGTCCTTCCTGCAGCCAGGCGTGGGCAAGATGCTCAGCTGGCTGTGCGCGCGCTCTGTGCCCAGCGTGTTGGACATCTCGCAGGTGTACTGGCCCGCGTCCTCCACCACCACATTCTGCACCACCAGCAGCTGGTTGCCCGGGGTGAAGTGGTGCCTGTCGGTGAGGCTCAGGGGGCGGTTCCCCTTGAGCCAGGTGATGCGGGGGGAGGGGCTGCCGGTCGCTTTGCACTGGAGGGCCACCGTCTCCCCCACAGACACCACGCGGTCTTCCAAGGGTACCACCAAGGATGGGGTCTCTGCAAGAGATCAAGAGATGGCACGCTCGCTCTGGGGCCTCAGTGCTGTGGGTCTGCTTGGTTCTCTAGACATGCACAATCCCACCTGAGGGCTTCCATCAGAGCGGCAAGCTTTTCAGAAGATGGCTGATCTCTGGTCATAAAGGCTTCTGTTCCCAAACTGTCCTGTGTCCCTGTTCTCGACTAAGACCACACTGCATGCTCTTTGGTCACTAGTTGCTCAAGGCTCTGGCATTGCACTGGCCTTTAGAGATAGGAGCCAGGGTGGTGGCCCACACCTGTCATCCCAGCAGCTTGGTAGGCTGAGGTAGGAGGATCTCAAGTCCAAAGCCAGC